TTAGTTTTATCTGTATATTCCGTGTATGCTGATTTTGAATGGTTGGTATACGAGTAAGGTGATTTGTTTTACAGCTAAATATTTGGCGGGACAAATCATGCCACCAATCAGATGCGCAACTGAGGATCACGTGTCTCAAAGCGGAAGAAATATCGAGTGGGTGTGCTTGTTTTACTTATTGAATGTTCTATGTTTGTTAAAGGTTTTCACGAGTCACGACAAAGGCATGTAAAGTATTTTAAACATAATTACTTGACATATTCTCAGTTTTAGCTTCAGCTAAGCTTTATATTGCGCAAGACAGCATTACACAAAATATTTATATGTATTGGTTATTTAAATATAGCATTACAAGTGAGTACACTGCAAAGACATGAAATGTAAATTTTAAAAGGGACTGTTGTATGGCAAAACTATGGAAGCCCGCTTCCGCAAACATTTGCTTAAACTGAGCACTCATTTTGAAATATCACTAATATTTAATATTATAATATTTAATCCTTCAGTCAGTACAACAAAATTAAAAGGGACTGTTGTATGGCAAAACTATGGAAGCCCGCTTCCGCCACTGAATAAAAAATAAAAAAGGTAATTGCGACTTTCTATCTCACAATTCAGACTTTTTTTTCCTCAGAATTCAAAACATATCAGTTTTGCGAGTTACTGCGAGTTTATATCTCACAATTCGGAGAGAAAAAAGTCAGAATTGTGAGATAAAAAGTCGCAATTACCTTTTTTTTTTTATTATTCAGTGGCGGAAACGGGCTTCCATACAAAACAGCCACGACAACTACACACGTGACTTTTTAAAACATTTGCTTAAACTGAGCACTCATTTTGAAATATCACTAATATTTAATATTATAATATTTAATCCTTCAGTCAGTACAACAAAATTAAAAATCACAACAAATCCCTATAAATAACAAAATTATGTAACTGTATTGAAACTTGTAAATTAATGTCAGACATCCATTTCAATGTATCATCTGTCTTTGAAGATGAAGAGGGATCTGTCTGCACCCTGGCAATTTTTCTGGAAAAAGGTAAAAGCAAAAAATAATAATAAGTAGGAGAACTTCTAATATATTAGAAAAATATGTAATATTAGCGAACAAGAGAATACATTTACCGTATGTTTATCTCAGAGTCCAAGTGGAGTCCTGGAGTTCACTGCATAAAACAAGTTAACATGAGAATATTCTGATTGTATGATTCACAATGACTGACCAGTGAATGTTTTAAACATTTTTAAACATTGAAATGTAGCACAAAATACCCATAACTAATCATGAGTTAAGAGAATTATATGTAGTGATTTTTTTATTTTTATGGCAAAAACATTAGTACTATACAGTATGTGTAAGATCTCACTGTAAAATCTCATGTATGTATGAACATCATTTGTAAACGACACTAGGTTTCAAAAATGATAAAGTTCAGTTGAGGTCCTGCTGTAAACTAGAGACAAGACTTAGCTAAGCAACTGGTCCCAAAGAATTTCTGATTCATTTTTAAATGTATAATTAAAACAATGATTTTTAAAGGTTTTTAAATTAATTTTTATGATTATGTATGTATTGGTTTTGTTACATTTATGACTCTTACGTGTTTAAGGGGGGCAGATTTACAGGCTGCACTGTTGGCTGATGAGTCCCGGCTTGTCCTGCTGGCATCAAAGAGGGCCAAAAAGAGTAGCCAATTGGAGGAAGAGGTGGTACATGGGAGCCGTAGTGATGGTGATGATGGACAACCCCTCCTCTCATTGTTGAATGTTGAAGGTCCTAAACAACATCAAACGTGGCACTTATTACTACATATTGTGGAATATCAACATTGTTTAAGCGGAATACAACATCTCTAGATGGTTACCTGCCCTGAATGTGAGGCTGGAGGTGTGATTTGACTGTTGCTTCCTCCTGGGAATATGGCCATTGGCGGAAGAGCCTTCAGCATCATATTGTGCATGATGATCTGGTGCATCTGTGCATTCTGCATGAGCATCAACTCCACCATGTCTGTCATCAGAATAATAAAGTAGAGAAGTTTTGGCCTAGCATAAATCTTGAAGTGTAGTTTAAACTCCATTTAGTACTTTATTCTTATCAGCTACTGCATGCAACTTCAATCACAGCTACACTACTGTTCAAGATTTTCTCTGTTTTTAATAGAAGATTCTTATTTATTAAAGTTTATAGTATTTATTTAAAAATGCAGTCAAAAACAGTCATGTAAAATTATATATATATATATATATATATATACAGTGGGTACGGAAAGTATTCAGACCCCCTTAAATTTTTCACTCTTTGTTATATTGCAGCCATTTGCTAAAATCATTTAAGTTAATTTTTTTTCCTCATTAATGTACACACAGCACCCCATATTGACAGAAAAACACAGAATTGTTGACATTTTTGCAGATTTATTAAAAAAGAAAAACTGAAATATCACATGGTCCTAAGTATTCAGACCCTTTGCTGTGACACTCATATATTTAACTATATTTTTATCCATTACTCCAGTCTTCAGTCACCTGATCATTCAGAAATCTATTATACTTGTATTTTTTTTAGGATTCTTTGATGAACAGAAAGTGTGAAGAACAGCATTTGAAATATAAGTCTTACGTAACATTATAAAATGTCTTTACTGTCACTTTTGATCTGTTTGTCCTTGCTAAATAATTTGCCCTTGCAAAATAAAAAACGAAATCTTTCAGTCCCAAACCTTTGAACAGTAGTGTATTTGTTAAGCAATAATCTTATAGTCTTATAAGTAGTCTTTCGTTGGAAAGTACAGGTTTAAATGTCCTAAATGTCACTATTATTTATTGCTTTTGTGTCTTAGTATACAATAACTTTTTTCTGCTTTTGATGTATACCTTCTTTAATACTTCCTGATCTGTAGGGAAAGGTTTGTGGAGGTGGGATTTGTGCTATGAGAGGCTGTTGCTGTGGTAACTGCTGGATAATGGTGGCTGGCTGTTGAGGAACCTTGTGGAAGGAGAAATATAAGTTATTAGAAGAGTGCCTGCAACAAAGCATTGTAACAGACACATACTCTACAAACACAAATTGGTTATTTGTATATTTCGTAACAGCTATAAAGCCATTCAATTGAACTGGAATAGTAAATGCAGATATTCTGTGTATGATTAAACCAGTATAACTAAAAGTGAGAAAACGTTTCATACGGTGTGTTGAATGATTTGAGGGGGCTGAGGGGCAGGAGGAGGTGGTGTAGTTTGGTGGATATGGATGGGAGGCACAGGTTGGAGTGGCCCAAGAAGAGGTTGATAATGATATTGCCTATGAGATCCACCCCATGTGTGAGGCCTTCCCAGATCCTCCATCATATGCTGTTCCTGGTGAATGCATATAAACATACTCAAATGCACACTGATATTTGTGATTTACATGATAACATATTTCTATTGACTATTACATGACACTTCAAGATTGCCTTTGGTTTAATCATCTTAAAAAGCTAAACAGATACTCTTTATGTGCAGAGAAGCTTTTAATATCATCTCTGTGAAACATACCCTCAGTCTCTGTAGGAGGTTTCTCTTCCGTCTCAGAGCGCTGTGTAATGCATCTGCCTGCCCATCATAACTTCCTGTGGAATCAAAATATAAGCTATTAGTCATATATGTTGTAATCTGCATTTTTGGCATGCTCAGCTGTTTTTGTTTTTATTCCATGATAGGTTTTATTTATAAACCTTTGAGAGGATTACTATAGAAAACAGGCATTCTGTCTTGTCAGGACAGAATTTCAGCCAGAGAGGCAAAACACAAATAATTTCAATCATGTATATTGTACCTAAACTCTCAAAATTCAACAACAACAACAGTGGAGTTCATAACAATAACTACTGTCTGTGTACTTGTGGAAAACGCTGAACCTTCTCGTTCAATGTTGTCATTTCTCTCATTCTCCAGTCTCTAAAAAGGAGCAAAGAGATGATATAATACATCTTTTAATTGACAAGTTTGGTCTCATGATAGTATGTCGTCAACAAAAGCGAAAGAATATATCATGTCAGTTATGTATAACTGAGAAATATCACATTAAACCAACTTACCTTTTCCAACATTTTCAATCTGAGCCTTGTCATTTGGTCAACCACTGGGTCTGCCATGTTAAAAACACTATGTAGATACGTTTATTTAATTATTGTCCATGTTTGCTGTAGAAGCCTGTCTGTTGTCAAAACATATCGGTGTGTTGCAGAGTTCTTTGCCCAACCCTCAAGTTGCTAAGTTACATTAGAAATCCAGACAGAGGCTCTTTTGTTTATGGTGGACCCATAGTAGAGCATTCTAAAAAAAAAAAATAATAATAACAAAAGCATTATGTTTTATTTGTAGTCTTGAATAATATGACATAAATATGGGATAATTAATAAAATATTATGATACTTATTACTTTTTATGTGGAATTGATATTTTCTAAATAATTGTATATATTTGTATTGTATACCTTTATACTCCAAATAAAAGTTAATGATTATATTTATATTTTTATAATCTGTTTATTATTTCGTACTTATAATATTATATGATCAAAATGTGTTACATTAAATTGGCATAACCTTTACAAATTATGAAATTTGGCCTTATATTATTAGTGAAGAAAACAACTAACCGTTGTTACTGGATAATCTTATTCACCCGGGCTTTTACCCGCGTCTTTCATTTGTCAATCACAACCACTATCGGAAACACGACTACCACAACAAATACAAGAGCCTACGTGGGATGTCGTTTCTCTCTATCCTGCTCCGCAATAGGCTCTAGAAGTTGTCAATCAAAGGGTCATGCTTGCACACGCTTTCTAATTGGTCATTCAGACCCAATGCATTTAAAGCAGGGCGTTTTGAAACTAGCAGGCGTATTTCTGCAGCAAGAAATGTCATTGGCTGGCAAGTCCACATCCTGTGTTCTAATAGGTTCTTGCAGACTGTCAATCCGATAAGGGCGGGGACAAACACTTCGCGGCCATGTTGAAATTACACTGACAGTTACTCCTTAGGAAAATCTCTGAACTCACAAAACATTGCGAAAAATTCGTTTAAGGAGTTTTACAGAAACACAGTTTCAGACTGGCGTCCCCTTGAGTGTTTCCTTCATTCCCATGAAATTCCTTGATCCAGGAAATGGATCAGGATGAAAGGCAGAGAAAATTAGAGGCCGGACGAGCAAAGGTAACGTTAAGCGCTAACATTAGCAGAGTAACTTTACATTGGCTAACGTTAGTTGTGAATTTGAATATTGCTGAGTTATTCCTTATGTCTGTAATTATATGAACGACCACATTTTATTTAGGTGTTTTTTCTTGCTTTTATTTGAAAGCCACAGATGTCACAGTCACTCCCATTGTTCTTGGTGCACGATGTCTTATTATAAAACTTGTTTGTATAAAAAAAACTACTCAGCCCGACTCAATTTATCAGTGTATTTGTGCCTAACCTTCTCATAATTCAGTGTGCTGAATATTTTTTATTAATATCATGCTACAGTCATAATGGACAAAATGAGGCTTGCCTTATTTCTTCCGAGTGTAACGTTACGTCGTTCATTTGCATTTGTTCTCAAAATCAGAATGATCTTCTTCAGCTGGAAAGTTTGAGCTTTTTTACATTGTTAATATGTAGCTTTGGGCATTTGTTTGATTTGAGTTTAAATTTGGCGTAAATGTATGTTGGCTTTGCGGCTAAATAAAACGACAACAACTTTTTTTTATGCGTATGAGGCTGTCTTATGTTGCAAATAAAGTTACATTTGCTGAGGGGAATCTGATACAGCTCTGTCTCTAGGCAGGATCAGTGCAGCTCACAGGTATCTACAGTATATATTTAGCTCAAGAGAGCTTTTACAGGAACTGCACTTTATCTACAATGAGAGGAAAACAGGAATAAAGTGGCATCTTTTTGTTTAAGTGTTTCTTTACCTTCCTCCTTTTAAAGGACAAGCGCTTCAAATTATGTAAACAATATGATTTGGGCTACGTTCTTTTACTAAATACTTTCTCATTGTTGGATGATGATATTCAGTCCACAGAAGAAAACTGCTTGTTATTTATAAAGAGACCTGCAGGAGGCACCACACGATTGAAACATCAACATTGCAGGATGGATTTCAGGACTCATTAAATGTAAATGTGCAGTCGTTTAAAGAGGTCATATGATGCGATTTCAATTTTTCCTTTCTCTTTGGAGTGTTACAAGCTCTTGGTGCATAAAGAAGATCTGTACATTTGCAAAGACTAAAGTCTCAAATCCAAAGAGATATTCTTTATAAAAGTTAAGTCAACCAAGCCTACCTAAAACTAGGGGTCGACCGATTATCGGCATGGCCGATATTAAGCATTTTTACAATTATCGGTATCGGTCATTTTCAAAACCGATTAGCTGATAAAATAACTTAATTTTGACTGCTATTTGGCTATATGGCTCTGATGCAGCCTGTCAGAACTCACCACTCTATGGCCTTTTCAACCTGTGTTTCAAAAAGCTGTGCTTTTATATTTTTAATGGATATTTGCTTTTATGTTAATGTTAATAAAGTAATTCGGTGTGACTACAGTAATACCGGGGGGAGGGGTTGGATGTTGGGGGGGGCGCAAGTGAAATTAGACTAACTTGGGGGGGGGCGCATGTCCTAAAAGGTTGAAAACCCCTGGCATAGAGCAATCTCCGCCCACCGCCCATCTGATTTGTTGGGAGTCACGAGTCCGACCAATCAATGCAGAATTCACTCTCCCTCTCGAAAGCGCTTGCTAACTGGAGCTGCTTCAGTGATCACACATCAGTTGTCTCTCAAAGGTAAGGCAGCAGCAGACGTTGCTTAATTTGCTATAAATCACAATCCACTAATGTTACTTTTTGAGTGACGTGACGTAACATGACATGTGGCCAAGTATGGTGACCCATACTAGGAATTAGTGCTCTGCATTTAACCCATCCTTAGTGCACACATACAGCAGTGAACACACACACTGAAGTTGTAAAACACCTCAATGTTATCTATGATTTCCGCGATTCAGGAAATGTGGACGGAATCGCGGAATCCAGTCATATAAATGGAATTTACTGTATAACGGAATTTGTCAAAGTTTGGATGAATTAATCAAAAGTAGGTCAGTACACTTAGAGTCGCGATATGGACTAGTATCTAAATATTAAGCCGCAAAAATACTATTTAAATATGAATCCTGCATGTTCTGCGTGTCTCTGTGTATGTAAGTTTAAAAGTTTATAAATTTAATATTTGTCTATAACATAATTATCTCTAGTTTGAACCAAACTATTGTATTAAGTCGCTCTTGGAATTTCAACAAATCCTCATCTACATCATGCACTTGCTTTGAGTCACTGGATCCATTCTTGTCAAACCCTGAATTTCATCTTGTAACCTAAGCCACATAAAATGCATGAATGTTCAATCATTTAACATTAGTTTATGGGATGCGTCTGGATTGTTGTTAGGTTAATGTAGCTTAAAGATTAACCTGTTATAAAGTGGCTAGCTTGTTGCCATGGTTTTTGTTAACTGGTCAGCAATCAACTATTTGCCCATAGCACAGCTTTGCTAGCGTCAGTCGCAAATGTTCTTTTAAAGTCAGCATAAAAATCATCATTATTTATATTTAATTCAGATTAGGGCTGTCAAAATAGCTGAAAAACTAAATTCGAATTTTGTACTTGAATATTAATATTCAAATTATATTCAAATTTAAAAGGCATAATTTCAGTTAGGTGGGAAAAAAGCTTGACTTCTCTCCTGAGGCCACAAGAGGGCGCATCGAACAAAATATCATGCACGTTTCTTCAAAGCATAATAAAATAACTCGACTATCTTTGAAAAAAGTGCATAATGTTTAAAATAATGTTTATAAACTTTATATAATTATAGGGGTCATATGATGCGATTTCAAGTTTTCCTTTCTCTTTGGAGTGTTACAAGCTGATTGTGCATAGATAAGATCCCTGAAGTTGCAAAGACTAAAGTCTCAAAACCAAAGAGATATTCTTTATCAAAGTTAAGACTCTGCCACGCCCCCCTAAAACGGCTCATTCTAACACGCCCCCACATATCTACCTCACTGTGGAAATATTTGCATAATGCCCACCAAATGTTCACGCAAAGAAAGAAAGCGTGGTTTCAGTAACCGCAGTTAGTGTTGATGCAGCATGTCAGGGAGACGCTGTGTGTTTCTAGGCGAAAGCAAAAGCACTTTATTTGGCCTTCCGAAAGTAGATGCATTTAGGAATCTTTAAGATCACTTACAACAGAACAGCAATGCATTTTATGGACGACCGTTTCATGAACCTAGGAGAGGAGGTAATTCTGACTTTGCTATGACAATCTGATGCTTCTGAATCAGCTACTGTTTTGTTATTAGTTTAAGTATTTGCTATTGACTGTTCAAATGCAGAGTTTTGCATATCATGTGTGTGTGTGCGCGAGAGAGCGAGAGAGAGAGCATGAAAGAGCGATAGAGAGAGAGAGAGGGGGGGTCACATCACAGTGGAGTCAGCTGTCTTAACCGTGGCTTGTGTACTGCAAACACATACCAGCGTCATTTGCTTAAACAATTAGAAACAAAACAAAATCGTGTATGTATAGTTTAATACAAAGGAACGAAAACCAATCACAAAGAGTATTTTCTTCATTTAAAAACTTGACATGCAGTAGGATGGGGAAAACCCGCCATAAAGTCTTGAGACATGTTTTTAAATAGTTGAACTTACATTATTTTTCCATGGCTTTCTAAACATGTGGCTCTCTTTTGCGAGATGCGAGTGCAACGGTGATAGATGTCCCTCTAGAAAATGTGATAAATATGCGTTCTGTGTGAACGGTTTGGATTTGGTTTTGACATGAACAACATCACCTCCGCATTGATGTTCTTTTTTCCCCACAATATTTTGAATGAACACGTAGCAGCGCCGCATCTAGTGGGTTCAACTGGATAGACTAACAAAAGCATTAAAATGCAATGACACTTACATCGTCATCGCATCTCGTGCACCACTGATAAGGCTGCCTCCTTAACGCACACCTAAAATTCAAATGCAACGTTTTTGCATTCTAATGTGGATTTTTATTTTCAATTCGAAGAATATTCAAAATTCAATTTTTTTATAATTTTTTTTTTTATTTGACAGCCCTAATTCTGATATGCACACCATTTTAGTGACCACTGAATGCTGAATGGTGTAGCCTGAATATTATATGCAAGTTGCTTTTCTAGATCCTGTTTGCGGCTTGTGGTCCCCCAGGCTCTCTTCATATCAACATCTTATGTGATTTGACAGTCAATGGGCGAAATGCAAACTGATTCCCTACATGTTCATGAAAGCAGGTCAGATGTAATCCAGTGGAATAGCCTGCTCGTGTGTGTGTGTGTGTGTGTGTGTGTTTTTTTCTCTTCAGGTGTATTCATACTCTGATCTGGGTTAGAGGGTTAGTCCAGAGAGCAGCTTCAAGTTAAGTCACAGTATGCATGTTTATGTGAAAGGTTTACGTTGTATTTGCTCCTCTTCATTTTTCCCTCTTCATTTAGTTTTCAGTGGGTTCTGCAGAGCACATCATTTCATTTGGTGGTCTTAATGTTTTCATAGACCTGCCCGGGAATCATATGGTTTGGTTGATGGATTGCTGTCGTGTGACTAATTTAACAGCCTTAGGGGTTATGCTGATGTTTGTTCATAGAAGTACCATTGTCATATTTGGCTTAGCAGGGCTCATTTGAGCTTGCTTTTAATCTGGAATAAGCTCCTTAAGGCAGCTGTGAGAAACCATCTCTTGCAGAATTGTGCGTGTTTCAAGCCTCACCACTTTTCCATGTTTGACAGTCAGGGATTCTCCAAAAAAGGAAGATGATGATGATTTTTAGAAGATGAAGAGCACATCGTTTTGGATATCAGCTTTTTTAACCTGTTTTTTGGCTTTTGTCTTACATTATGGACTAAACCACCCTTGAGATGAAGATGAATTTGCCTTATTTTGTTTATTTTGTATGAAATGTCAGTCGTGCTGGAGATGTATCTGTATGTCTGTTGACATGGCTTATGTTTAAAGGCCAGCACAATGCTGATTCTGTGTACCTGCTATCTCATCCTGATGTACGTTTCCCTCTACCTGTCTCTCAACCTCTGGCGCAGCTTGCTCACTTTAGACGGTGCCGGGCAAAAAGCGAAAGTTCGAGCACGCAGAAAAAGACGCCGAAGAGGAAGGGCCAGACTGTCCAACTGGATGAATGGTCAGCGCAAGAGCGCCACCTAGAGGAGCCGCAGACAGACGATTGTCATGGAGAGATCAACAAGGAACCCTCAGAGGTTTGCATTTCATTTTAAAGGGGCTATATGTTAGAATTTTCATGTCTTAATCACTTTTTTTGTCAATGTGGGAACAGCTTGTAACGATTTCCTGGGTTGTTTATGAAAGCCTTTAGATTGATTTTTATTTCAAGTTGAGTCGGGACGTTTTTGCCAGGAAAATCAAAATGATGTGGAGTTTACATGCGTGTCTGAGAGCTTCATGTATCGAATGCTTATACAATGTTTAGATTAATGTTAATGAAACTAAACTGCAAAATCAAGCAAAAAAAAACTTTTGTAGTTTTCTGACACCAGTCAGATGCAGTAGTCGTAGTGATGCAATAAGGAGAAAGCAGTATAGATGCTTTTTTTTCTTAAATGCTAGATAAACAAAGTTTAGATTTTATCAAGGTTCCTGATCTCTAAAACTGTTTTATTTATAACGGTTCTAGAAATGTAGAAAATGGTTAATATATACCGGAATATGGCGCACAAATTTTTATTAGCATTTTTGTGACATGGCCTCTTTAAGAAGTGGGTCAGTTTACGCTTTCACTTCATTGACTTTGAGGGCTTGGATACTTGGTTATGTGACATTTTTCTAAAGGGCATAATGTCTATAATCGCTAATGTACAATATCCTTTTCCAGTCATTTGAGTCAGAATATTAATTCAACTGAACATTGAAAAACTTGTTTACATGTTGTTTAGACATTAAGCCTGCAATGTCACATGCAAATAGCATGTGCACACCAATACAGAACATCAATATCACTATCAATATCACTTTAGCATGTATATTTGTGTTCCCCATCTGAAAATAGGTCAGTTAGCATAACATAGCTAAGGGCAATGTAGTCATGGTAACTATAGAAAATATGCATGTTTGTATGAATGTTTAGGCATCACTCAGACCTGATGGCACAGACAGCAGTGTTCCAGAGGTCCATCAGTGCAGCAGAGAGGATGATGAAACTGATTCCCAGGAACAGAGGTCCTCTTCTGGGTCTCTGGCAGAGTCAGAACTGACTGATCAGGCAGAGGACGAACTTGCAGAAATTAATGTAGTTGCACATACTGGCAAAGAACAACTGAAGGTAAACCTTTACCCTTTAAGAAACACACAAGACAGATCTTACAATTGCAGTTATATTTTTCCATTGCAAATGCAATTTTTCCATGCATGATTGGTACATTTCTGCTGTACCAAAGCAGAACAGGCACATTAGCCAAAGAAAATGACATTTTAGCAATATTTATTTTTGTTTGCCAATAATTATGTATACGTGTTTGTGTATACGTGTATATAAATATATACATTTTGATTTATATATATATATACACGTGTGTGTGTGTGTGTGTGTGTGTACTTTCCGTACCCACTGTATATATACACACATGTGTGTATATATATATATATATATAATAATTAAAAAAAAAAATGTAATTTTTTTTTTTAGGATGCAGTAATCCCAGCTGTGTGGAGACCATGTCTAACACTCTTTTCTCAGATGATATTGTATTGAAAGATTCAGTTGAAATTTGAAGTGTGTGTCTGTGTGCAGCTGTGTTTTTTCATGATACAGCCATTATCCTGAAATAGAACAGAGAAAGATTCTCTCCAAACTGGGCTACATCTGTCCGTTTGAATGGATTAATTCGTGGTCATGGTTATGCACAAATCTAGAAACCCGAGGCAGAGTTCTGCTTTCTGGAGCGTAGTGTTTACCATAATTGGTTTGCTTGAATTTTAGAGAATTCATTTTTAAAGCCTTGTGATGGTGCAGAGGGAAAGGAAGAACCAATTAAATTTAATGAATGAGGTTAAATGTATCCTAATTCCATGTGTTCATTCCACTCATGGATTTAAGGATTATGATTTCTTGCTCCTGGAAGCCTAGATTTTTAGGTGTCAAAAAGTGTTTGTGCTTATTCGGTATAATGTAACTCGTTGGCTAGAGTCCAATTTAAAAATATTTTAGTTGTGAATGTTATTTACAGATACTTAAAGCATATTGTTGGAATTACTTAATTCTTCACACAGCAATTACAGGCTGCAGTAGAGAAACGGAATGAGATCATATCACAGCTTAGTAAGAACCTGCAGGTGGCGCTGCAGAGCAGAGAACAGGTGCAGCTGGAGGCACAGCAGCTCACTGGTCAGATTCAAGCACTACAACAGCAACTACAGCAGGTAGAGTTCATACATTTATTAAAAAAGAAAAGTTTCTCAATCTTGCCTCTAGTCCTCAGCACAGATTCATTGAAACAGACCCTATTTAATTTAAATGGAGTACTTAATAACGTAGTGATTGTCAGATTTGTGATCTTGAGAATGTTTAATATTTGGGTTGGAAATACCAAAACAGAAAAATGCTGGGCTCTGTTAGACATGAAAAATTATGACTGGTTTTGACTTCTGCTAACAATACCCCAAATCCTCTGAATATGGACAGTCTGAAATGTCTTTGTTTCCTTAATGGCCAAATGAACAAAATCTGTTAGTTCTTAGTTCCCAATTTGCAACTAAATAAGTCTAAATGAATGAAATACTTGCAGGCTAAAGAATATCTACGTAGCAAAAGTCAAGGGTGTGTGGATCTGACCCAGGCTGTTCAGGATCAGCTGCATGTACAATTGGAGGAGTCGCAACAGGTTAGGACACGTGTCTTTTTAACGGTTAAGCTTGTCATTTGAAGCAAAATATGCACTTTTGTTTTATCAACGTGTATTTGTTCCATTTGTTTTATAGATGACCAAGGAACAACAGTGCCTCTTGGCCCAAAAAGAAACCGAGATCACAGACCTACAACAGAAATTGTGTGTCATGGAAAAATCCCTCTCTAATCTTCAACATTCCTTTACCCAGAGAAGTGCTGATCAAAAAGATCTAAGACTTGACGAACATGGTGATTTAGATTTATCCATTATGAGCCCCCTGGATAATGGTCCTGACTCAAACTCTGAAGCTTTAATGCAAAGCCTTAGAGCTGAGCTAGAGGAAGAACGTAAGAACAGCCAGCGAGCTCAAGTACAAGTAGAAGCATTTCAGAAGAGGGTACAGAGTCTGGAGAATGAGAAGACCCTGATGGAAGCTCATCTGGCTGCTGTTAATGAAACACAAGCCCAGAAATATAAAGCAGAGAAAGATGAATTGAACCAAGAAATGGCTAGACTAGATAACCTTGTGAAGGAGCTTCAAAATCATCTACACGAAGAGGAGGAGACAGGACAACATATGCGTTCCAAATATGAAGCCGATATTTCCAATTATGATCTCAGGCTTCAGACTCTGGAGGAGGAAAGGGAATTGAATGTAGCCCAGCTAACGGAAGCTCATGAGGCTGCCTTTAGTCGCCTGCAGAAGGAGCACTCTGATGAGATCCATCGCATCCAGGAGCTGCTAAACCAGGCCCAAAGTCAACATACTAATTCTCATCATAATTTTTCCAAAGACTTTGGTGCAGATGTACCCTGGAACAAAGTCTCCAAAGAGCACTACACTGAAGAGACGGCCACTGAAAATGCTGTCAGAAACAACTATAGTTTTGACATCTCTGCAGGGGGTTTCCAGGATGATCTTATGGAGCGTTACTTGGCCTCCGAAGGGCCTCAAGAAAGCTCATTAATTGAAGGGAGTGTGGAGGAACGTAGCCTGATGGAAACCTCTGAGACATCCAGGTTTGAGCTAGACACTGAGGTAATATTTCATGCTTCAAATGTCCCTAACAATGTCACATCTGATGGTGATAAGTCTGAGCCAGAGCTGTCTGTTGTTCATGGCATTGAAGTGCCCCAACCTGATGAAATGTCCTTCACTGATGCCCAGTGGGAAAACTCAACCTCGGTTGTTGAAGAGCTGAATGAGAGCTCGGACACTATGGACTTGGCTAAAGAGCTTCTGATCCAGCAGTGCCGAGACCTGTCAGAGCAGTTAGAAGAGCGGGAACGACAGCTTGAGGTTCTTCAAGAGGAGGTTCGGCACTCTGCTGAAGAGGTTGAGGAGGCACGGGAGCGTTGGAGCAAAGCTTCGGAGGAGCTGGAGGAAGCTAAGTGGGAGTTGGAGATTGAACGTGAGAAAAGAATTCAGTATGAGGAAGTTATAAGCCAAAAGATGCATGAAGAAGACAGCCTCAAGAACATACTGAGTCACCTGCAGATCCAGAAACAGATGCAGCTTCAGGACAATGAAAGATTAATGCCTGACAACACTGATTCCAATAAAACGTCAGTCTTTTTGTCTGTAGAGGAGATGTTAAAGGAACTAAGGGAGGAAAATGCCCAATTGGTGCTAAAGCTCAAATGTCAGGAGCAGCTAGTGAAGGATGTCCATGAACAGAAAGCAACTCATGACTCTATTACTTGTGAGCTTTCCTCTTTGCAAGCTAAGAGAGATGAATTTTTACTTCAACTGGAGCAACAAAAGGAAAAACACCAAGCTACTTCAGTGCTGCTTGGTCAAAGGACCTTGCAGGTGGACCGAGCCAATAGTGAGCTTCAGCAGCTCAAAGCTGAAGTAGAGGTGAAGGTTAGACGGTTGCAGAACTTGGAGAAAGAGAAGACAGACCTTGAGTCTAAACTAATGTGCCTTAAAGAGAACCTCACCAACATGGAAGAGGAGAAAGCTACCCTTGAAAGATGTCTCCAAGCTTTGGAGGACCAAGCAAAGAGCATGGAGAAGGTTCTTGAATCAGAACTGAAGAACTTTGAGGTTTGAAACTAAATTGCTTTTTTGAAATATAGCATATTTAATGCATAATCTATAGTATAAAGTATAGTGAGAATGAACAAATTCATAAATTTGTGTACTCTTTTCAGAATGTCTAAAAACTAGAGTATTTTATGTATATGACACACAACTGTGGTCCTCCAAGTAACCCATATATGTCTCTCTAGCACCAAATTGAATCAAAGGATGCAGAGCTCAAGGAATTCAAGGAAGCACAAGAGAAGGCAGAAGAGGAATACATGGAGAAGGAGAGTGCTTTGATGAAAGAACTCATCATAGTCCAACAGGATCTGGAAGAAAGACAGAAGCAACATGAGGAGGAGAAGAAAATTCTGGAAGAGAAACACCAGAAAGAGGTGCGAACCAGGTTGTGACTGTGACTATGGGAGAATGTCCATTTAAAAGGATCACAAGTGAAAAAGACACATTGAGTGAAGATCATTGTAAAGTTGTGTAATTAAGTGGTTGAAAGGAGTTGCATGAAATTCATAACAGTTGATATCATGTTTTTGAATACCTCCAGGTTAATTACTTGAATGTACGTTTTGAGCGTGAACTTTCCGAGCAGTCTGCTCGTCTGGAAGATGAGCAAAAGAGACCGATCAGCATGATTAAACAGGTTAAATTACTTTATTTACCCTAGCAATGTGACCACACATCTATATGGATCATATGAATCTTTTAATTCGTATACACTGGTCTTTGTCCTAGGTCTATGAACGAGAACATGAGAGGGAGCTGACACAGCTGGCTGCCCAACATAGTGAGGAAATTGGCAGACTTAAAGATGAGCTCTCCAGGGAGCTGCAAGACGGCCTGGAGGCTGCACACCAGGCTGAGCTACTCCAAACACAAGTACTTGTTTGATCTCAGGATTTTTTATTTGGGTCCTGTGGTATGTTTTGGAATGTAATGCTGACATGCTGCTATATATATATATATATATATATATATATATATATATATATGTATATATATGTATATATGTATGTATAGCTTTCAAAAGGAAAATTCTGAAAGGAAGAAATGTATACTTTTACTCGACAAGGATGCATTAACTTGATCAGAAATCTTTTGAAACATTTTAAATTACTTTCACTTTTATTTAAAATATATCTCATTCTTTTGAACTTTCTATTCATTAACAATCTGAAAAAATGTATCCAAGATCATGTGACACTGAAGACCAGCATAATGGCTGCTGAAAATTAAGCTTTAAAATATATTAAAATGATATCTTATTGTGTTGTGATAATATTTGACAATTTTATGTTTTTCATTGTATTTTTGAACAAATAAATGCTACCTTGGTGAACATAAGAGACTTTCAAAAACATTTAAAAAGAATCTTACTGACCCCAAACTTTTGAAGAGTAGTGTGTATTTTTAATAGTCTAAGAAATGGAATGCAGCATTGCAGTTTTAAATATTTACATAAATTATTCACACGTTTTGCTACTTAAAATTATAATATTAGATACATTCTAATTTAATTAAAAAAAAAACAATGCTTGGAGCTGCATGTGTTCTCAATTGAAGTGTAACCCCCACCAATTAATGGTGTTACCTTCCATGTAAATTAACATCATGGAAATGGAAATGCTTTTTTCTTGGGCAGTTGCCTACATCTCTACAGCAGCTAGCACATGAGCTCAGCAGCTGGCTATGACCTCTGTGTCTGACAAGAAGTATGTGTGCTGCGTTCCTAATAGCAGTACAGCAATGTGCCATTCTAAACATACCCATATTTTAACTGCTTTCCTTTAGTTATGCACTAACCACAATTCCACAGTCATGTTCGTTGGTTTTACTCTTTATAATCAGAGCCAGCACAACTTGGAGCTTGAAGCCTTGCGTCTGAGTTTGACAAACTTCCACACTGCTCAGCTGGAACTTTCTCAAACCAACATGCAGAAAGATAAGGAAGTGGCCCACAGCGAGCTGCAGACCATGTTACGAGAGAAATGGGCACAGGAAAGCGCCATGCTGCAGACACGCCAACAGTTTGAGCTGGAGCGAATCCGTGAGCAGAGCCGAGAGCAGGAGCAACGAAACCAACGAGTGCACCAGCAAGAGATTGGTGAGGGTTTGGCTTGTAGTTTAATATCAAAATGTTATTCTTTGTAGTATTACTTTAGTACTGTGGCAATGCAGTAGGATGTGTGTTTGCTCAAAGTATGTGTGTGTATTTTTGATGGGTATGTTCTTTCACCGTATAGATAATCTGAATCAGGAATGGGAGAGGAGAGCTTTGGAACAAAAGAGCTCAGTGGAGCAGTTGCAGGCCTGTAAACTGGAGGTACATTTTTTTATTTATTTTTTCTTCTTCTTTCCCCAAAGGACACACATCTTGACCCACTGAGATATTGTGGCTTGCCAAGAAATAGGTGTGAAACAGATTTGTGCGATGTTTTGTTTTCTCCATAGGATCTAAAGGCAGAGTGGCTCTTGGAGGCTAAGAAGGTCAAGACAGAACTCCAGAGTCAATTAAATGATGTCCATCATAAACTTAGTGAGACCCAGGCGGCCCTTACTGAGGCTGAAGTAGCTCTCTCAGAGACGCAGGGTAGGCTAGAAGACCTGCAGCATTCCAGAGATCAAGACATTAAGAATCTGGAAAAAGAGCTCAACCAGGCCTTGACTGACAGAGATGCTACTGCACGTGAGTGTCATTTAAACAATTGTGTGAACTAAGCCATATTGACAGTGATATGGTTTGCTGGCCCAGTTTATGGGTGTTTTTACAACTGGCTTGTTTGGAGTGTTTGTTTCAGAACCCAGTGGTCTTTCTCCTTTAGTTTGGTTTAAGCATTTGCAAGCACACCCATAACAAGTGGTTCGATATCACCTGAATGACGGGGGCTTGGCTCAATTGAAAACTCTGGAGTAGTTCAGTTGTGATGAAAGCATTGCAGCCCAAACGCATTTTGAACCAAACCAAGAAGAAAGTGCAACATTGTAACAACTGAAATCTGACGCAAACAATCAACAGGTCTGAAATTCCCTAAATTCCCATCCCTTCCTCTTCAGGTGCACTTGAGGAGTTGGTTGCATGTCACAAGGCGGCTCTTCAGGAGCAACTGGAACGTTCTCGAGCCCTGGAGCAGAGAGAAAAAGAGTTGAAGCAAGAGGTACCATGCAGATTTGGCATTTGCTGCAACAAAGTTGCAATGCAAATGTTTTATTTTTGTTTGTACTGAGGCAACGTCTTTGTGAAAGGTTGAGCGTCTGCAGTCAGAAAAGGTGGAACTGAAGACCAGTTCAGAACAGGAGATCTCAAACCTCTGGTCCCAGCTGGAGCGCGTGAGAACCAACAGACAGGAGCTCGGAGGCAAGCTGGGCTATTTCCCATTAAATCATTTTCTGTTTTTGAACATGTCTGTGGGCTTAGACTGCTGTATTGTCTTACTCATTTATTATTTATAAGAAAACCAGTTTTATTTCCTCTGAATTGATGTTTGTTTTCAGCAAAGTTCCTATTATTTAGCGTTGATGTGAACTACAAAGACCTGTAATTCTTTCTCCTAAAGAGCTGAAAGAACAGTTGCTTGCACGCTCGTCGCGGGTTGATGACATTGAGCTACTAAAACAAGAATTCACTCAGCAGCGGCAGGAAATCAAAGAGCAGAATGAGATCGAGCTGGAAAACCTCCGCACCTATTTCGAGCAGAGACTCCGGGTCACAGAAGAGAGTCATCGGGAAGAAATCGCACTCCTGCAGCTGCGCCTTGTAGAGGGAGCCCTGGAGGACTCGTTGCTCAAGACTGGAGATGCGAGGTTTGCTTGGATTTCCTGTTTCTGGGGTTATAGACTAAGGCCCAAGACTATATTTTAGCGTTGTTAGTGATGCTGTAATTTAAAAATGTTCTTTGTGTTTGTGCTTGCATATACATTATTATACAATGGAGAATCATAGGTCCCATTTTTACCTGATACACCTGGTCTGATCACCTCGGATTGTTATCCGTATCAGGTGTAACATTGGCACTTGTATCCTAAGCAATGTAGATGAGGAATAATACAGCTCCAATAATTCATCCTGTAATAGAAATTGCCAAACCAGGGCCCACGGTCCAAACTTTCCTTTTTGATTTGGCCCACCATGCCATTTCACAATTGTGTTTTTTTCCATTGAAATAGAAAATGTTAGTAAATTTAATTAAAACATTTTTAGTTTTAATATGATCCAAATAAAGGCCTGACGTTTACTTTTCAGCTCAAGCGAGTGCATAGAGTGTTTGTTAATACTAAAGTTAATTGTAACACAATGTTGTTTTGTAGCTTTCTTTCAGAAGGGAAGAGCGATGATGACAGGAATGATGCCATGGAAGAGATCACAAGACAACTAGAGAAACACAAGGTAAATTGTGTTTTAGTTGGTGTTGAATCTTATTGAGATACATTTCATAAAATCAAATGATAATTTACTTAGCTGCAGCAGTTCACATTATTTCCAAATAAGGGTCTTCCTAATCTTTCAGCAATTTCAAATTACTACCATTGACCAATTATTTATTAGTATTATAATAAGTTGGGAACAAGCTGATGCATGTATGTGTTCTTTGCAAGTACTGTAACTGTGTTGGTGTGTTTACAGGAGGAGCTGGATTCTCTGCGGCTGCAGTTAGAGGAGAGACACCAGCAGGAACTTGAGCAGCTGCGGTCCAGCATGGCTCTGACGTATAAAGAAGAACTACTCCAGGCTCGCACTGAGCTCACTGACCGATACTACAAAGACATTGACCAGCTCAACACCAAACATGCCCATGAACTAGAACAGCTCCGTGCCAAACTCTCAGACAACCATATCAAAGGTAAAGCTTTGTTGAGTGTACTCCAAGCTTTTCAAATTTATTTATTTTTTGAACATCCTAGCAAGCATATTTTCATTTAAAAATATTTAGTTTAAAAACATTTAATTGCAATTATTTTACAATGTTACTGTTTGTTTTTCTGTATTTTTAATTAATAAATGCAGCATTGGTATCTTTAAAAACACCTTCAAACTTAATATATATAAAAATGTTTTTTTCTCTTTCTCGTCAGAAATAAACAAGATACGCCTACAGTCTGCACAGGATGTAGCGAGGCAGGTGGAGGCTGAGGTGAAGGAGAGGACTCATGAGCACCAGACCAAGGTGACCCAGTTGGAAACCCAGCTATCTCAGCTCTCCTTAATGCACTCAGAGGAACTGGAGAAAGTGGTAGCGCAACACCGAGATCAGCTCAGACAGATGGAGGAGACAGTAAGTGTGTTCATAACAGCAGGCTTTTATACTTGGTACAAAGGGGCTTTGGTAAAGATTGTTGCCAAAGGCTGGTACCAAGCACTGTCATGTGTCATAGAAGTAGTGGTCATGCTGTAGACAGATGAAACTCGTGCTGATTTTTGTGGAGACCCTTTAGCAATACTGTAGCATTATCAGTATCAAAGGTATCTTTATGAATAAGGTTCTTTTTATTGAGCACTGTGTTCTTTTCCTGTTAAAGCATCAGAAAGATGCTGCTGAAGAGTTAAGGGTGCGCCTTGAGGAGGCGCAGAAGGCAGAGAGGAATCGTGTGAGTGAGGAGTTCACTAAAGAGCAGGCCCAGCTGAGGGAGCAACTCCAAATTCAGGCTGGGCAGTGCTTGGCATTGCAGAGAGAAGAGCTTCAGAGATCAGAGCTTCAGAGATCTGCCCTGAAAGAGGAGTTGGAGCAGAGGCTTCTGGAGGTCCAAAAACTCCTTGATGTGGAAAGGGAGAAGCTTCAAGCACTGCAGAAGAGTCTAGAGTGTGAAGAGAGCCCTCAGGTGGTAGTGTTGAAGCAGAAACTCCAGGCTCAATATGACAGAGAGTTGTCCACTGCAAAGAGTGCCATGGCAGCAGAGGTGAAAGAGCTGAATGCTCTACTCCAGGATCAGAAGGAGAGCAAGCTACAAGAGGCCCTCTGCAGGTCAGAAACTGCATTACACTAAAACCGCATACAGGTTAATACCATTGGCAAATATGATCCAGAGTAGCTTAAAAGTTCAAACTCAAGACCTATTACTATTATCTATACTCCTTGATATTGCTTATACTTTTTTTTTTTTTTTTTTTAAACAGCGGTCTAGTTGGTGCCAACTGCAATACAATTATTTTGTCAGAACAATGTACAACAAAATGGAGAATGGATGGAGTAAATGTGCTCATTATTATCTGTATGTCATATGTAGGCACCAAGAAGAGCAGAAACAACTGGAAGATAAGTTGACCCTTCAAAGAGATTCTGCCCTGGGTCAACAGAAAGAACAGCATGCTGTGGAGCTGCAGGCCCAGAAAACACTCCTGGGCCAGCGAGTTGCACAATTAGAGCGTCTTGAAAAGGAGTGTCAGGAACTTAAAATACTCCACCGGGAGGAACTGGAATCCCTGAGGACCAATCACAAAACAGCCTTGGAGACCTTGGAGAAGGAGCTTACAAATAAACACAAGGTAGAGCTCGACAGATTGGAGGTGGTCCTTCAGGAGACTGACTTGGCACAGCTTGAAGCTCAAGAGGCGGAGCTTCAGGCACGACACAAGCAGGAGAGGGAGGAGCTTGAGGAGAGGCTGTTGGCAAATATGGATACACTGGAGAGCACGTACTTGACAGAAATCCAGGCAGTACAGGACGAGAAGGAAAGAGAACTGCGTGACCTTGTAGAACACTATACTGAAGAGATTGAGAGGGTGAGAAAGGAGGAGCAAACCATCAGAGAGGACCTCAGAAGTGAGCTTGCTAAGGTCCATATGGATAAATTCAGCACCATGGCAGTAGAATTGAATCAAGCCCATCAGGTAAGCACAGTAATGGAGGGATGTTTTTTTTGGTGCAAGTTTAGTTTATTGGAAAATTTATTGCAGGAGCAACATCTAGTGTGTTTCCTTGCTCATGCAGGTGGAGATCTCTGAAGCTGTGTCCTCTCAGAGGGCTGCTTTGGAGGATGAGCATCGATCTGCTTTGGAAGCTCTTCGGCAGCAAGTAGTTGCTTTAGAGAAGCAGCATGGCGCTGCCCTTGTAGAGATCACTGATCTTGCTGCTGCAAAAGAAAAGCAACACGAGCAACAACTGGATGTGCTGGCTACTCAACATCAGCAACAGTTACAAGTATGTTTTCAGGAGGACACAAACAATGTATGATTTTCATTTAGATATGTTCATCCTTTAGCATGGATTTAGCATAGATAACGTAGTCATGTTGTATTTAAACTGTAAGAAGATAAAAGTTTCTTTCATTAACTCTCCTCTCTACCTCAGGAGTTAAGAGGAGTGTCTGCCAGGGAGCTGGAGGCTCTGCGTAGGGAATTAGAGGAAGAAGCGTCAAGGCAACGCCTCCACTTCCTGGAAGAGGCCGAGCTTCTCAAGTGCAAGTCTGAGGAGCTGCTGCAGCAGACAATTGCACAATTAAAGGTGAGAGGGGGAGCTGTTAGTTTTAAAGTAGCTGTATTCTACACTCCCATTTCCCATAAAAGTGAATGTGTGTTGGTCAAGGTTTCTTGCACCTAAAATGTCCCTCACCTCTGCAAGATCCGATATCGACATCTAATTCATATGTACAATGTTGATATATTAACAAGTAAGTACATGTGCCCTGGTTTGTTTAATTAAATAAAAGAATCTGAGATGCAAGGTTTATTTTGTGATTGTTATTTATGGACAGTATTAATTTTATATGTGCATGTCTCAAAGGTCTTGCAATGTTTTGAATAAAAAAATTAAATAAAAAAAAACTCTGATACCCTGCGCTGGGCCAAGCTGAATACTGAATAGACATTAATATGTAAACAAGTCCAGAATCAATGCTGATTGCATGTTGATTGGCTGAACAAATGCCATAAGAAAAAAAAACTGTGTAAACCGTTTACAAATACTTGCTCCACAAACTAACTCAAACATGGAAAATAGTGATAGATGGACCGTTGCAGAAGACCACTTATTTTTCCATCTTCCATCCTCCAGTTTCAAGGGATAGTTCACCTACAGTTGCTGGTCCCCATTGACTTCCATGTATGGAAAAAACCCACAATGCAAGTCAATGTTATTAAGTCAATCTTATTAAAAATGTTTATAGAGTTTAGACACCATAAATTAAAGACACCATGCCTTTAGTAGCCCATGTTTATAAATGCACAAAATGGTCACGCATGTCAGAAGTGCATTGTTAGTGAGCTCGAGAGCAAAACTGAGGTGTAGAGTCATGTTAGATAAGCTCCAGATATGCACAGTGTCTCTGATGAGAGCTGTTAAAAACCTTCTCCTGTGTCGAGTGTTCTGCCCTTTATGGCAAAAAGGAGGGCCTTTTTCAGTCAGAAAGTAAATTAGGCCTCTCATAATGTCCTATTTTTTGTCTCTCTTTCTTTCTAAGCATGACAAGAACTGTGACACGGAGTGTATTGGCCAAATTAATGAGCACTTCCTAGTAGGGCTTCAGAAACACATTAAAACACTCTTGAAATGAGCCGTGTTCAGATTTTAGCCACAATTCTGTTACATATGTGAGACTTGTGTTTTTGTGGATTTGGCTATAACGGAGATACTCCCTCAGTAAGAGCATCTGAATCAGAATGACAAATGCTTTATGATTTGCCCTTTCAGCTGGAAATGCAGGTGTCTTTGTTAGAAATGCACGATGGTCAGAAAAGCTGCTCCTACATGTAATTACCAAAATATTTTTGGCATACACACCAAATTATTTTTTCCCTCTTGCTTTCCCCAGGAGTCCCAGTAAACACTTTCCCCTTCCTTCACAGTAGGATTGTTATTTATGGACAGTATTAATTTTATATGTGCATGTCTCAAAGGTCTTGCAATGTTTTGAATAAAAAAATTAAATAAAAAAAAACTCTGATACCCTGCGCTGGGCCAAGCTGAATACTGAATAGACATTAATATGTAAACAAGTCCAGAATCAATGCTGATTGCATGTTGATTGGCTGAACAAATGCCATAAGAAAAAAAAACTGTGTAAACCGTTTACAAATACTTGCTCCACAAACTAACTCAAACATGGAAAATAGTGATAGATGGACCGTTGCAGAAGACCACTTATTTTTCCATCTTCCATCCTCCAGTTTCAAGGGATAGTTCACCTACAGTTGCTGGTCCCCATTGACTTCCATGGTTTGGAAGTCAATGGGGACCAACTGAAGGTGAACTATCCCTTTAAATGATGTAGCTGTAGGCTGGCTTACATCACTTCAGAGTTCCTGCTCTCGGTGTGAAGGCAACCAGGAAAATTGCCCTAGGGAAATATTTAGTTCTTAGGGGACCAACCATGTGGCTAGTTCTGATTTAACTGATTTCTTATAACTATCCAATGCAAAAGTCCCTTTTAATAGGCCATCTAACTGTAAACACTGACACCAAATTAGGCTTAAGAAAGAGTATAGCTTGTTCTATGCCTGCTTTTTTAGCTTGTCGCGTATAGCTTGCTTCTCTCTCCAACTCATCGTATAAGTATTCATTCCTCATATTTAATTTAACTTGTAAAACTTGCTTTTTATAGTATTTTTTTTTTTTTTTCAATTGGTCCATGTTGTCATTATTGTTGTGACATTTAGTATATGAACATTTGCATATATGCTACTCTAGACATGGCTATGAACAATAGCTAAGCTTATTGGGGGAGGGAGTTAACATCTGGAGCAGGGGGACGGTCCACTCTAAGCTCAAATTAATACTAATCCCCACCCTGTGCTGTACATTATATCCTCTATCATTCACAGTAACCCTTTTCTCTAGATCGGATGCTGTTGGACATTTATGTTTGACCTTGTAGAGCTGTCCTCTGTCAGCAAAGGGGCTTTCTGAGGTTTTACACTGGTTGGTTTGTCAGTTGGCCACTTTCCCATTGGGGCATTAGAGAGGTCCTCTCTCAGTATTAATCCTACAGATGGGAGGAAGTGTAGGGACACGTGAGTGATGACTGATGTGATTTATCAATGATCTCTTAATTCTTTATGGAAATCACTGGGTAAGTTCTGATCTAACCATTTGGCTTATGTCTGTTTTGGAGGTGAGAATGTAAAGCTGAGAAGTGGCAGTCATTGCTTCTCTACCTGTTTATTCAGAGTGTCCCATGATTTGTATGTGCATCTTTCAGGAGGAGAGTGACCAGGAAAAAGCTGTTGGTCTTGAGGAGCTGAAAAAGACTTTAAGACAGCAACACGAGCAAACTGAACTCGCCTACAGTGACAAGATGAGCCAACTCAATGTCCAACTACAGCAGCTGGACACTGTAGTTTCACAGGTACAACACAATCAATTGGTCAACTCGTCATACAGCTACAGCAAATGAGAACAGTCAGCTCAGTGTAACAAACTTGTATATTTAATTTAACCTTTGATTCCAAGTATTTGGTATTATTTTAAATTCTTTACTACTGACAAAGAAAATACAAGCACTAGAAAATAGAGAGAATTTTTGTATTTGTATTTTTGTACCAATTTGCAGTCTGGATGAGTCGACGCTAGTTGTCTTTTAGTTCACCTAAATAGGAAAATTCTGTCATTAATTACTCGCCTTCATGTCGTTCCAAACCCGTAAGACCTTCGTTCATCGTCGTAAAACAAAATTAAGATATTTTTGGAGAAATCTTAGAGCTCTCTGACCCTGCAAGAGAAGAAATTGTTGAATAAAGTCATTATTTTAGTTTTCTTTGCGCACAAAAATGTATTCTCATAGCTTCATAAAATTAAGGGTGAATCATTGTCACGTGGACTGTTTTAACAATGTCTTTACTACCTTTCTGGGCCTTGAACATGGTACATGTAGTTGCATTGCTGTCTATGCAGGGTCAGAAAGCTCTCAGATTTCACCAAAAATATCTTAATTTTGTTTTACGACGATGAACGAAGGTGTTACGGGTTTGGAATAACATGAAAGCGAGTAATCTAACCCTTTAATGTCATAAAGGGTCAGTTCACCATAAATTAAATCAGAGCCATTCTGCAGATTTTGGGGTGTCAGCTTTTGTAGGAAAGTGGAAAGTGTAAACTGATGGGCACACTTTTTTTTTTTCTTTTTTTTAATTTGTATTTCTTTTTTTTTTTAAATCTTCAGACTTTGAGTTTGAATCCATCCAGTTGGAGGAGGATATCAAATATGTTTAATATTTTGATCCAATTTTAAAACACCGTTTTCATTTGTCATGCATCATTTAGCAATGAAGCGCATGTTTCTACACAAGTTTGTTTTTGAAACCACTTTAAATGACATTTTGTGTATGATGCCTAAAATGGTTAAAATTGATGCCTTGTGGAACATTCATGTATCATAAAATGTAAAGAGAAAAAAGCTCTTTAATAGTGGGCTGCTTTACAGTCTAAATAACTAGATGATGATGATTGTTCATAAATATTGTTGTATTCAGAATTATACTATTTTATAATAACATCTGTAATAAATAGAAAAAATAATAAAAATTTAATTTGTAATAACTTTTATTTTTATTAGCAGTGGGTGGGAGAGCAACAGTGGCTTTTTTTTACCACCTTCAGACACAAAAAGGTTTTAAAGAATCTGGTTTTCTAGACAGTCGAGTTGCTGTTTTAAGGGGGTGTTCAGGATGCTGGTGTACATAAGAAGTGGTGGGTGGGAATGGTAACAAAGGGCCTAGCTAAGCTTTGGTAGAGCTGTTGTTATGGTTACATCTTTGCATGCCTTTTGGCAGATGAAATACACCACACATTCTTACAGGAGCCTTATTTAAATGCACGCTACATTGTCTGATCTGCTTTTGCTGCTGTTTTCCCACCTCTTTTTGGCTTTGAATCCTTCAGGCTCAAAACAAGCTGTAGAACTGCTGGACCATCCACAGACAGTCATATTTTCTGTTTACTTTGGCAGCAAGCTTATTTTATGAGGCCTCTAGAAGTTAACCTCTTCCCTATTTGTTAGTTGCATTGACACTTCTTGAGCAAATGCTTACACGTTTCTTGCCTGTGTGATGACTGGTTTCCTTTCTGTGGCATCTCTTCTGCCTCTTCCTCAGCTGCGAGCGGAGGTGAGCGGGCTGCAGGTGGAGCTAGAGGGCAAGCGGGCAGAGATGGACACGCTGGAGACGCTCCTGCAACGCAGAGACCGGGAGAATCAGGAGGGAGACAATCTACTAGCCATGCTCAGAGCAGACCTCAACACGGCCACACAGCAAAGGTCAGCTGACCTGCAGGGATGCAGAAATAGGGATTTTGTGGAAAGAACCGACAGTCTGCATACTGTTTTAGAGAACAACTTTGTTTTCATACTTTGAGTTTATCATTAAAACCTTTGATTTTGTCCCTGTCAGACAAGACCTGCAAACAGCACGTGACAAACTACAGCGGATGCTCATAGAGATGATTCGAATCACTATGGCAATGGAAGAGCACATCAGCCACAAGTTAGGGGTTTGTGTGTCAGGTGGTCGGGCTGGAGACAAAACGCCCAGCTCTAGGACAGCCAGCAGTAGCCGTGATTCACGTGAATTAGGTAAGTTTCTGTTAGTCTGCTGAATGAAATCTATATTGATCACCCACTATTAAAAAGTGTCCAATCTTTTGATGTATAAAATGTATACAAATATTTTGTATATAAATATTTAAAGGGATAGTTCGAAAATGTTCCTAATTTACTCACCTTCCACTTATTCCAAATCTGTATGAGTTTCTTATCGTCTATTGTGTTCAACAGAAGAGTTTTGAAGAATGTTGGTAGCCATTGACTTCCATTGTATTTTTTTTCAGCACTATGGATGTCAGTGGTTACCGTGAATGATGACAGAAATATATATTTTTTTGTGTGAATTACCACTTTAATGGTGGCAAATATGAAAGTTGCTAAAACACATATTTTACACTATCTTTTAAAAAATATTTTAGAATGGAAGCTTTATTTTTTAAAGGAAGCTTTGGCCGATTATCTCGATGTTCTAAATGTCATTTAATATTTTAAGTTGACTTTCAGAAAGATTAGAACAATCTTTTTTTTTTCTTTTTAGGAGAGGTGATTGGTGTAGAGGGAGATGCTGATTGTAGCATGTGGTCTTCGGCTGTGGACGAGGGGTTGGAATTGTCTCAGAGGCTGTGTGAGAGTGTGTTCTCTGGCCCGGAGGGAGAGATGGAGGCCGAAGGCGAAGAGCTCATGCTGGGTGCCTGTACACGTCTGCGCACTGCTGTGGATAAACTACTGGAGCTGCTCTCCGAGTCCTCACAGCAGGTGCCACGCTCGCACACAATTCAAGTTTCAATTCAAAGTTTATTTGTATAGCGCTTTTCACGAAAATTAAATAAAGCAGCTTTACAGAAAATTAAGTTTCTACAATATATTTAGTAGTAGCGTATCAGTGGTGACTGTCAGTTAATGTACATATGGCAGAAATGTACGGAAAAATCAATTAAAGACATAATCAAACAGATGATGAACACTATTAACAGCCATTATTATATGATGCAATCAAAAGCAAAATTTGGTAGTTCTGTATGTTGTTTCAGGGTTGGCATCATCTCTTCTCAGGTGTTCTGGATCCAGACTGAAGCTTGTGTAAATCCTAGTTACCACGGGATGTCAATCTCTGTGGCAAAAACAGAGAAACAGATAGAGACATAATTAGCAGTTGATGATTTTGTAACTGATACGGAACTTAATAGGTAGCCAGTGCAGAGACTGTAAAATTGGGTTAATATGATCATATTTTCTTGACCTGGTAAGGACTCTAGCCGCTGCATTTTGGACTACCTGTAGCTTGTTTATTGAAGATGCTGGACAACCACCTAGCAGTGCATTACAACAGTCCAGTCTAGAGGTCATGAATGCATGAACTAGCTTTTCTGCATCAGCAACTGGTAACATGTTTAGTAGCTTGGCAATGTTTCAATGTTTCTAAAAATGCTGTTTTTGTAACATGGGAAATATGATTTTCCAAAGATAATTTGCTATCTAATATAACACCCAGATTTTTGACTGTAGAGGAAGTAACAGTACATCCGTCTAGTTGCAAATTGTAATCCAAGAGATT